ATAATATAATAATTAACGTTTGAGTATTCTAACATTAATGTTTGAGTAGCATAAAAATCTAAAATATAATACTTCTCTAATTTTTCGCATTATCGCATTATTATCAGTGCAAGCGATAACATTTCCAAATAGTTACATACATTCACAATACATATGTATCGTATCAAAGACCATGCAAGTCGTATAATGAACTTATTTAACTCAGTATATATTATATGATACGATAATATGACAACGAGAAAATATAATCAAACGAACCACGAACGCTTGAAATGCTCTTATCTTAAATGCTCAATAATAGATATTCGTTTATATAGCCTTGTTAAAAAAAAAAGAATTATTATCGAATATTTAATTGACCAACTTTAAATTTAGAAAACAATGTTGCTTTTCAATTATAAAATTTAAACAAATAAATAATAATTAATTTTTTTCGCGAGTTTACTCTACATAACTTATGAGTCATCAATAAATAAATTAGTAAATCTAATAACTACAAAAATTTTTCTAATGCATCATCTCATTTGATCTGATTATATTCAATCAATAGTTAACAAATATCAAAATTATACATCTATACGACGAAACAAACTTTCTTGTTTTTTCATCTTTTAAAAATAAACTAAAAATAAATAATTTATATTGTCATATATACATTATAAGATAATCAACAAATCGAAGAAAAAGGAATTCAGCAATGAAAATATTTTTCTAACTAAATGATCTTAAATAAAGAAGAAAACTTCATTGGTTAGTTGATAGTGGCGTGAAAACTGATCTCTTTTGTCAAACTAAGAACAATTTAACTTTCTCGAAGGATAACATCTTCTCTTTTTTTCTTTGCATTACTAAGAGAGATGGATTTACGCGGCGCCAACGAGGAAAACATAAATATACAAAACGCCGCCGCGCGCATATACGTCGACCGTGAGTGGGTTTCTAGTAAAAAGAAACAGAAGTGTCGCGACGTGAATACAGGTCACAACATCGCTGAATAAGCAACCGAGCGCGTGTATATCGCTGCCCTCCACGTTCAGCAAATTACGTAAGGCCAGAACAGGAGCTCGTTTAAATACCGACACAATCAACGATGAATAAGTTACCGTGTATGTCGCGCGTGTGCACACTGACGAAACAAAATAAGGGAAACGTACACGACGCGTTCGTTCCATATTCGCGTTAAATTCGGCAAAAGTTACGCAATCCGACATACCGCTTGGCGCCGACGTCCTTTAGGATATGCCATTAGCCTTTAAACAATACTTATATATCGAAATTTTTAGCCGTTTTCATATGATTACATTAAGAATTATTTTTTATTTTTTCTTTTTCTATATTGTGATAATTTATACATATAATTAAATCATATTTTCATACTATTAGGATTTATAAAAAAGATACAATGCTACATTTCTAATATTTTTCAATCATTCAAACTCTACATTTCAGATTAGTAGGTCGTTAACATGCTTTATCGTTTCGAACGGAAGCTTGTTAACCGAGTCCAAGCAAGAACATCGAACTCGTAGAAAAACTAAACCAATGCGTGTATTAAAGTGTACTAAAACAGAAGTATTTATGTTACGAAATACTATTCTTCATTTACAAATTACATAAATACGTACAATTATTTTATTTTAAATTTACAATTAATTCTGTTGTAATCTTTTTAATAAATAATAATTGTAAAAAATTTGTTAAATTATTAAATTAAAAAAAATATAATTAATGTAGTAATTTTATGATGTATATATCTATTACAATTTACTAAGGAAATAAAATATTGTAGTTATTCTGCTTCATAATTGTAACTTTATGCAATCATAAAAAAATAGATTATTTTTAATTTTATTTAAAAATTTTTATTTTTTTATAGTCAAAAATGATAATATAAAAAATTAAATATTTTTTAAAAAAATAATATAATTAAGGCAAATATTAAAATAAAACAATTAATAATATTATATTATGAGAGAAATGGGCAATATATCGAATTAAAGGATGCGGGTTATACAAAGATAAAAAATTCGCACGACACAATGAGACACCTGGAAATAGGAAGGAAAAAGTTGAGAACCACTAAGTGCGTTTGCATTATCCACAAATACAGAACAATAATCGTTTTCTCAAAAACGTTCGCTCAAACTTTCAGAGGATGTTAATTTGTAGCACGAACGCGGTGTAATAATTGGCAATACATATAAATGTGTATTTTTAAATTATATTATCTTTTGAGAAAATATTTTAGAATAGTGAGCGCAGATCATTTAGAATGCAAATCTTTTGTATGAAAAATGCATCATATAATATGAAGTATATCACAAGACAAATAGGCATGGAAAAAGACAAACTATCGATGGAAGGAATGAGAGATACAAATGAATGATATTCTAGAAGCGTCTATCCAAATGGCGGTCAGCCGCATGACACGTATACTTAACAGAATAAATGATTTACATCAGACTATACTGTACCATCGACATTTCGCTCTGCAGATATATTTTGAATGGTAAATCAAATATTTCCAGTATCATGATTTATCAAAATGTAAAGAGGAAGTCACGTGAACTTAATTCAAACGAATTCAAAATTCAGTATATGCGCATTTAACATAAGTGAAGAAAAACTGAAAATCTTCAAAATTTCGTTAAAATTTCTTTTTATATATAAAATTTCAAAACACAATGCGAAGTGCTGCCATCTAACAATAATTCATAACAATTTTCATACTCCTTTGATATGTCAGAAAATTCATCTAATTCGCACGTGCATTTTATAAAGCAATTAAATATAATATGAACAAAATTGTTGATTTATTTGATATAATAATTTATTTTATATAGATAATTTGTTTTAAATGAATACTATTATTATAATTTTTATATACGTATATATATATATATATATATATATATGTAACAAAAAAAATAGATATTTAATTAACCACTGGAATTCTATTTTAAAATAAACATGTTATACTGAACTTGTTGCAAATTAAACTAAGGAATCTTACACATTGATTTACAAATAAATACACTAAAAGAAACATGAGAAGAGCATGTAACGTTTCATTGGAGAGGTTGAAGCGTTACCGAAGGTCAACGTCAAGATACGATTACACACACCAGTGAAAAAGTATTTAATCATAAAATAGTTTTATGAAATAGAAATTAAAATCTCTATAATTGATCTTAAAAAATATGTAAAAAATGAAAAAATAGAATAATCGAGCAATTGGCAAATAGAAGAATGAATAAAAAGAAACGCGTGGTTCGTTGCTGGCGCGGCGTCTCCCGCCATATCACACTAGTTAGCATACTCGCACACTAAGTGTCATACACTTGCACAAGTATAGACATGAAACGAAGAACTACATATGCACTGCATTTGTACGCACAAGTACAGACAGAAGATAGAACGCATACAAATACACACGCACGAACCCGCGGAATTTTCTCCGGTGCGTGTGTGCACGCATGCACCGTGCACACCAGGGGCCGCGCGAGCGACGCACACGGCGTATACTGAGCTCTTGGCGGCGCGATCTACGTAAGAAAAACACTCACTAACCTGTCGGAGGCGATTCTCCCTGTATTCTTCGGTCCACGGTATTTCTAGGTACTCGTGTATTTTCACCGGCTACACTGCGATCACCAAACTAATCACTCTCTCACACGGCGTTCTTACGTTGTATCTTGATCGGGGGTATACGCGCGGCGCCTTGATTCTGTATTTCGATTCACACGACTCTCACGGTGTCCACGGGTGACTTCAAGCCTCCCGTGGAACGATATTCACTCGGATATGGGGTCTGGGGTCACGCGCGCCCGCCCGACGCCCCAGTTATTCGCAAAAATCCCTCGATTCGATGAAAAAATTGGTCGACAATGCGCGGAACTACGTTCGCGACTGTCTCCCTCGCTGGAGGAAAATGGCGGCCCCCGGCCATCCGAGTGACTCGCGCGCGCCACCGATACTTTCCGTCACTGGCCGAGTATATCCGAAAATAACCGATCCTTTTCGATTCAGCATAGTCGAACGGTTAAATATCGGCCAAATTTTTTACAATAATTTTGAAATATATTTTATTAAAATTATTTTTTCCAAGATTTTTTTAATTGTTGCATTTAATAATAAATTAGATTATATTAATTTTATATTTATAGATAAATTTAGTTTTCTGATAGGACTATTAACTGCTTCATCATGCTTAATATCAAGCATTTCAATTTAATGTAACGAATTTATATATTTTTATAATGGAAAGATTATATACAAATGTTATTATTTTGTTTTATTTTATTTAATGTTATAATTTTCTTTCAAAATTATAAAATATTAAAATAATGTATAAATATTATAGATATTTTAAAATAAACTTTTTTTTACAAGAAATGCACACGTGATTGTTTAAAGTTGAGTATTATTTACGTGAAATCTTATAATCTTAAAGATTATAATGAAAAATTATAGATATATATATATAGATTATAATGAAAAAACTTTTTATATAATATTTTGTTAAATTTGTAAAGGAAGAGTCACATTTTGAAAATATCACATTTCGAAAATATTTAACTACGCGTACGTTATAAGCATTTTCTATTCAATTGTGTTATACTTAGCTTATATGTTCAAATTTTGTGATTGGTCAAAATCAAAAATTAATTTACTCCAATGACCAATCAAGAATGTCAAGAATCATTGACATAAATAAGATATAAGACATATGTTAAATAAAATTATTGATATAAAGACAAATACGTGATTGTTCTAATATTATATATGTCTTAATTCTTTTTACTGCTATAAATAATTGTAAAATAAATATTATTTGTACAAATAAAAATATATTTTTTAATTGATAATGAATACATCATGTGATTTAATCTGAAGATCATCCCTTATTTTCTATCGTTGATAGAGCCATCTACTGTAATGTTATATTACTAACGTTTTTATCATGCATAAACAAAATGATAATTATCTTTGTTAAAATACTGCAAGAGATTCCACGATTCTTGAAGACAGTTTTGTGTCAAAGTTATTGTGTTCATTATTGTATATTTGTTTTTTAGTTTTGTGATTTGTATAAAAAGAGATACACAATTATGATACATAATAGTAAAATATTTTAGTTGTGACACAATAAACATAAGTTTCCTCGGATTTTTAACTACAACTTTACGCGTAGTTTGAGCATAACCAATATGTCAGACGTTAAAAGTCTCGAATATCCAACATTGAAGGTATTTGATATTTTGATATTTATTTTAATTTAATTTTTTTTAAATCCTTAATGAAACATTGACAAATCTTTATAAATTATTTATATTATTCAAAGTTAATTTTATATCTAATTTCTACTTTAATTTCTATCATTTTTAAATACATAAAAATTTTATTATTATATATATTTAAATTGAGAAATAATATAACAATATAATATTCTATTTTTAGGTTCCTTATGAATTACTTAATAAAAAATTTCGTTTAGCTCAAAAAGTCATAGATAGAGAAGCTTCATATGTACAAACAGCAGCTAATGAATTAATGAAAGATAATAAAACATCTGTTCCTGCTGGGGAAATGAGCATATTATTAGGAGGAGTTGTAGAAAAACTTCAAACTTTAAAGAGAAAAGCACAAGAATCTATTGCAGAAGAGTTACAAGCAGGAATGGTTTGCAAAAGACGACTAGAACATTTAAAAGAACATGCTAATACTGCACCAAGTGTTGTGAATCAGTGGCGGCGACAAAGACTTGATAGAATGTTAATAGAATATTTCCTTCGTAAAGGTTATTATACAACTGCAACTAAATTAGCAGATAGTAGTGAGCTTAGAGATTTAACAAATATAGGTATGTTAATTATTAATATTATTTATCTGATTATCAAAATATAAATGATATTATTTATTTTATTTCATATTTTTAGATGTTTTTATGGTATCAAGAGAAGTTGAAGCATCTTTAGCAAATCATGAAACTGCAAGGTGTGTTGGATGGTGCTATGACAATCGATCTAAGTTAAGAAAATTAGGAAGTACTATGGAATTTAATTTACGTGTACAAGAGTTCATAGAATTAGTAAGACAAGATAGAAGGCTTGATGCTGTCAAACATGCTAGAAAATGTTTTACAAATTATGATGATTACCAGTTGCAAGAAATTCAATGTTGTATGGGACAATTAGCATTTCCAGCTAATACATCTCTTAGTCCATATAAAGATCTATTAGATGAAAAAAGGTAAAAGTTTTTTATTAAATTATTCTTTAATTCTTATTAAATTATTTATTGTTCAAATTTAAACTTTTATGTTTATTATTGTTATATTATTATATTAATATATAATATTTACAGATGGGATAGATTAATTGAACAGTTCAGACATGAAAATTATAGACTTTTTCAATTAGCAAGTCAAAGTGTTTTTACAGTAGCATTACAAGCAGGTCTATCAGCATTAAAAACACCTCAATGTTATAGTGCAAATAAAGAAGGTAGAAATCCAAATTGTCCAGTGTGCAATGAAGCTCTCAATGAGCTAGCAGTTCCATTGCCTTTTGCTCATTGTTCACAGTCAAGACTTGTTTGCAGTATTAGTGGAAAACCATTAAATGAATATAATCAACCAATGATGATGCCAAATGGATATGTATATGGAGAACAAGTAAATAAATTTGTATTTTATAATATATAATTATTAATTTACTAAATTAATTCATAATATTTTATTTTAGGCATTGGAAAAAATGGCTCAAGAAAATAATGGTACTGTAATTTGTCCAAAAACCAAAGAAGTGTTTCCATATAAAAAAATAGAAAAAGTGTATGTTATGTAATAATTATTGACTCAAACATAATTTGTATTATATCTGCGTTTCATACTATGTACCAATATTAACAAAAGAAATAACTTCTATTTTTAAGAAAATATTTTTTTGCAAATTTTCTTTATGATCATCTACTAGAATAAAATGTGATATAAACAAATAATGTGTGGAAAACGTTCTAGTTTTTCGATATAAAAAGATATACAAATTATTATTATAATGTAGTTGGATATTAAACATAAAATCAGATTTTTGTCCTTATTCATTTATTTAACATTATCTCTACAATAAATTGAACAATTAAAACAATTCCATAAATCTATGTTTCAAGACATATTCTATAACCATGAACTTTGTAAGTATATTACAATGATTTATATTTATATTTATATTTTGCATGCCCAAACATTTTAACATAACATGAAATTTATATTAACATTAGCGTAAATCTGATTGCTACTTTGTTATATAATTTTCTCTTTCATTTTTATATAAAAACAGATCGTCATTATATCATCATTTAAATATTTTTTCATAATAATTTTTTTATAATAATTGTATATCTTAATGAAGAAAGTCTAATCTACTTAATGATATGCATTAAGCAATTTTAGATGAAACATGTTTATAAGTGAATCAATATAAAAATATCCTTTCTATGCTCTATCAGCTTTAAATTCAATGATCTTTCATTCATTGATTTTACTGAATTTTATAATTTATTGTCTGAATTGCTTCATGTAGAAGATTGTCCTTCTAGGAATTCGGATTCTAGGTTTTAGAATAAATTTTGTGGTCAATATGGGGTGCAATATTTGAGGTAATTTAAGGTTTTTTGTTATAAAGATTTGTTTATAAATATGTGATTTTGATAATCAATTCAGAGCATAAATAGAAAATGTATAGAAATATTAGTTTTATATATGTGAATTAATAGAAATAGAGAATAAACAGTATTATAAATAGTAAAACTATATGGCTTAGAAGATAGTGTACATAATAAAAGTGCTGAGATTTGTAATTGTCACATGTTATTACATGTGGAAGCACTTAGATAATATTTACAAATCTTAGTAAATTCATTCAATAAAAATTTAATGATGTATACTTTTGTTTTTTATAATGAAAATATCACATGTACCTATATGTACATATGAGTTAATATAAGAATAATTTTAAGTTTTATCATTTATTAATATAATTTCGAATTTATTATATTTAATATAACAATAAAATAGTATACATCAATAACAAAATAACGAAAATACATTTTTCATTTAATGTAAAACAATTTTACAAAACAGCATTTTATAAAATTAAGATAAAATTTAAATATATATATATTGTAAATATATGATATAAATATTATATGAAATCTTATTGAGCTTATTTAAACATGCAATTTTGTGCTAGTATACACACTGCCTTAATCTTTTTTTTAATATACAGCATGTTAATTAAATAAAAGAATATAATAAGCTCAAAATATTATATTATAAAAACATTTTTAAATAAAGAATAATAAGTAAAAATACAAAATAATATAGTGTAATTAGTGTATATATTAAAACTGATATTAATCAGAGCATTCCCAAATTATTTATATTTTGTATAATATTATGACTTTTAAAACATTTTTAATTGTTTAAAATTGATTACGTTTAAAAACATAAATAACAATTATATTTTAATATTTTAATATTTGTAATTATTCATAAGTTGACCAAGAAAATTAGAATAAAATTAATATATCAAAACATATAAAACATAAAATGTATATTTTATAATGAGATTTCTAAAGATAACACAACCTTTTATATTACTCAAAGTAAAAGTATAATTTTATAAAATATAATAAAATAATTAAATTAAAGAAAAACTATTCTATGCAAAATATTTATGTACCTTGATAAAAAAACATATTATCGAATATATATAAATATATATATATATATATATATATATATATATATTTTGATAACACTAAATCTTTTAACTTACTTATTACAATTAGCACATTACTGAGCATTTAACAAAGAAGAAAATGATTTTCCATTTCAACATCTTTGTCATCTAAATAGGACATAACTCAGTCCTAAGTTTTGTTAGTACGAAAAGTTAATAAACCACAGTCTTATTATAAATTTGGTCTATATAAGTAACAATTGTTAAATGTACAGATCTTTTATGTGCTTATTTTAGCGGCTTCGAATTAACTCATGTATGTGAAAAACCTAATAATATATGATTATTAAGGCTTATTGGTCCAATTTAGTAGTAATAGTTTCATTGGGGCAGTGATTAAACATTAATATCATTAATATGATAATAGTGCAATAACAGATTTCTATTTTTTGCTTTAAACTTTAAACAGTTCATTATGAAATATTAGATTATATTAAATTTGACGATATAAACTCGATTTTTGAGGTACTATTTAATATTCTGATTATCTTTCCTCCCTTCCTTCGTTTAAATATTATAACAAAAATTATTTTAAATAATAATTAAACAAATAAAAATTATTAATATTTTACTTTATGAAATCATAATGACATTATAATGACATAAAATTTATTTTCAGCTTCATTCTTCCAAGTATTAAAAAATCTATTAAAAATAAATAGTGTAAATTCAAAATTGAATTGTACTTTATGTTGAACTCTAATTTTGTTTTTTTGTATTCTTTTGATTTTTCAATATGAATGTGTTCAAAAATGGATTAATATTCTATCATTAAATCTTGTACACATTAAGATAATTCAAAAGATATATTTGCTACCAAAATAGGCATGACCATAGAAAACAATATTCCAGTAAAAATTCCTGTAATTAATGATGCTGCCCCAAACATGCCAGCTGTTGCCATGTATTGAGAATCTACCATTCTAAAATAAAAGTTCCATCTCTAATATTTTTGTTATCAAAAATATAAAAAGAATTTTTTTTTATTTTATAAATCTCACCTTGGACAATACATCATAGATAAAGAAGAAAAATAACCACTACTTATTCCCATTGTAATGGCGATTAAAAAATAAATCCAATCATTATTAATATATACTGGTAATGTTCTTAAAATACCTTTTGGTTTGTAATTACATAATAAAAACAATGGTATATATAAAATACGTAATGCAACTGGGATTATTAAGTACCTCTTACTAGGCTATGAGAAAAAAATAATAAAAATTAGTGATTATATTAAGTATTTAATGAATTTTATAAAAAAATTGACTCACCCATTGAACCAATGATGCAATTGAACTACCAATTAGAGCTGTAATGTTGAATGTGAGGAAACACATGACAGTACTATAATAATCTGGTGGAACTATGAAGTTAGGATCCGAACTTATTATATCAGAATGAACAGATGGAAACAAAGAAAGAGTTACAAAAAATATAAAAAATGTATTGAAACATTGAGGAAAACACTGTTTGAATATTTTCCAATAAGGTAATGTATCATGTTTGCCTCTTGTACTATTTTCTAATTGTCTTTTATTTATTCCTTTTTGATGCAATAATTCACAATACCGGTAAAATCTCTATAATCAATAATAATTTATGTAAAAAATTAGTCTTAATTTTGTAATAAAATTTATAATAAAAAATATAATTCTTACATTTATTGGAAGTGCAAAATAAGTATCAAAGCATGCAAGAAGAATAAACAATGCTGTTATAAAATAATATATTGCCGCAGTCCGAGCATTTGGTGCCATATATTGAGCAAGAAAATTAATTATTGCTGTAAATGTTCCACTTATATTCTGAAAATAACATAGGATAATTTCAATATGAATATATCACATAATTTTATCATAAAATTGTATAAGATGATATTTACAGTGCCTAGGATAACAGCTCCTGTGTACTTTGTAGGTAACTTTGCCACCATACCAAACACAGAGTTTTGGTAAATTCCATTAGCAGCTGAAAGATATTTCATAAATAAAGATTATTTAAATAAAAACATAGATTTGAAAAAGTAAAAAAAAGTAAAAAATGAATGTACCTTAAAATAATTTTTTAATAAAGTATAATTTATTTAAAATATTATATAATTGATTCTTATTTTGGAATTTCTATAAAAATAATTTTATCTTACTGTTTAATATAATAACAGAAATCATGGTAATCCAGAAAAAGGCACCTGGCCAATCAGAGCTATCAGTCATTGCCAAAATAACGGTACATACAAATATTAAAACTTGTATGAAAATGCCCCATACTATACGTGTTGTCAAATTGCCACTAAAAGAACCAAAAAATTATATTCACAATTAAATATTAGTTTTTCATTAATTATCATATAATATATAAATTAAAAAATAAGTTTTTTATATTTTAATTAATAGATTAATAGGTAACATATATATAAAACATTAGATTGGAATTATTCAAAATATACACACCCAAATTGTATAAATACATTTAACCAATTAAATAATATATTTGGTATCTGTGCTGCAAATGCTAGGTATGAAAGAAAATTTGTAGCATAATTTGTTTCAATCCCTGTATATTCCTTAGATAATTTGTAATTAACAAAATACTAAAAGAATAATTAAAAATTTACAACTTATGTAAAATTAGTAAGACAAATATAAAAAAATATATTTTAAAGAATATAATGCATACATTTTTTGCTGTTATGAACATGTTCCATGGCATCAAAATTCCAATTCCATGAAGTATCATTATGCAGAATATTATATTTAATCTAAAATAACATATAAACAAACAAATGAAAACAAAATTTTTAATAAATTATATTAAAAATTGTATTTACCTATCTTTGGGAGGATTTAATTCAAGCTCTGCTTGATCCATTGTAACTCCTTTAAAATTTAATTCATCATCAGGTCTACCTGTACCTTCCCAACCAGGAGAAAGACGTACAGGCTCAGTACCTATAAAAACATTATGATTTGTACATATATATATTTAATCTTATTGTTAGTAGAATAATAGTACTTAGAACTATCTTAAGAACTTTACTAATGCTTCAATTTGAAGCAATTTATTAATTTAGTGATCATAATACAAGCATTTCATATATATATTACACTTATATGATTTGATATTTATATCTTAAATTTATATAACAGAATGGAAAAAATATATATGCATTTATCTTAATGATATAAATATTATATTGTAAAAGAAAACAAACATTAATTACCAGTTGGAATTTTAAAAGTATTATATGAAGTTTTAATGTAACCTGAGGACAAAGACATTCATATATTGTATTCCATATCTGCTTAAATCATATTCCTGTGTAACATACATAATATTATGGTATTGTAATAATAAAAATAAGAAAAAATATTATGGAATTATAAAATTAAATGATAAATTAAATACAAATAATATTAGAAAAATTTATGTTAATGATTAATATTAATGATGAAATAATCTCAAATAATTTTAATTTATTAATAAATTTTAATTAACTCAAAATATATACATATATTATTTTATAATGATATAATATTTACATTTTATTTTATAATAAAATATATATTTATTAATATTTCTCATATATTTTGAGTTAACAAAAGTTATATTTTATATAAAACAAAACATTTTAACATATATAACATATGCAGACAGTGCTGAATTTTTTATATTTTTTTTTTTCAATTAAAAGATTATAATAAAATATAATATTATGTATTAAATATAAACAAAACTATTCTAATTTTTATTTAATATAAAAATTTGTATTATTTTATTCCATTGTATTATTATATGTTATTTCATTACATATATATTATACCAAATATAATATTTATTTATGATAAAAATGATTTCTAAAAAAAGACACATTTTTTAAAATTTTTTTTAAAAATATTATTTACTGCATAATAATAAAAAATTTCATAAATTTTGAAAGAAAAACCTGAAATATTTTGTATATTTAGAAAAATATCTTTAATAAATCTTAAATATATTTAATTATTAATAAAAATAGTATTAATTATTTATCTTAATTTTTTGATAAAATTAAATTATTAAAATAATAATTAAATTGAAAAAGTGCAAAATGATTTAATATCAAATAATTTCAATATAATTTAACAAATATATTAATTCAATAATTCATATATTATAATATATAATATATGAAAATAACACTTAACATTTGATAATATAAAAAAAAAATTATTTTCTTCAAAAATGAATTTGAATATCTCACAAAATATAATATTAAATGTTTGAAAATTGATGTTCAAAGTGAATTATGTAAATCTTCACTACCAAGAGACCGGTTTGGTAAAATATTTGTAATGAAATTAAAAAAAAAAACTCTCACTTCTAAGAAGAGTAAAAATTCTTAGCATTTAAAATAGAGCGAAACGGAAACAATTCTTAAAGATAAAGAAAAAAATATGGTTAAGAAAGGAAATAGTATATACCTTTCGCGGGTACGATGCGTGTTCCATTCGAATCTTTTAACAAAGTCTGTTCTTCGGGACCTACACTGAATTCCTTCTTTGTATAACTACCCGCCATTTTTTCACAGTTTTTAAACTTAAATCAGATTAAGAATAGTATAATGTTAAAAATTAATGCACTATGTATTATTTTTGTAGAAATAAATTTTCAATAGTTATTTTGTCTGAATGCTGTTTCTAATTTATTAGGCGGACGGATATTATTCAAAATTCAAATAATTATTAGATAACTTAAATTATAAGAAAATATTTAATTTGCATTTGTAGAGTTCTTCCAATTCTTTTTGGATTTCGTTTCGGAATAAAAAAATTTCACAAATTGGTATTAATATTACTGCATATCCAGTAATTAAAGCTTTACAGTTATGAATAGAACTGTTCTCCAACGTGAAAGACATACCATCTTTCTGCTTTATTTTTATAGGTTAAGATAAGATAGGGTTAGAGTTCGACAAGTGAGCTCCACACTGCGCGGAGATTCATGAACTAAGTTCGAGATGTTGCGATACGCGCGCAATGTTTAATATTTAAATTAACAAATACAAAAAAGTTTAGTATGATATATACAATTGATATACCTAATAGTAAAGCAATTATTGCTTCTTCATTTATATATGATGATGTATGATGAATTAACATATTGAATATTTTTACAGGAATATATAAAAAATAGTATATATATATATATATAATATTTTAATTTATAAATACGAATTATAATTATAAATTGATCCGCTATATAAAAAAATAAAATTTAAACGGAAATTGATCATATTGTAACTATTATTACAGATACACATAAAGATCATATGACGATTATATACATTTTTTTAAATGCAATCATGATGAACTTTTCGAAAAGATGTATTTATCAATTTCAATAATTTGCAATATTTTATTAAAGATCATTCTGAGTAACTTTTATATATATATATATATATTCGGCGATCGATTTTAATTTTCTTAGAGTTAGTTATATATAGAAATATTTTTCACATTATGTATTAATGCAACAAACTAATTAATTTAAATAAAAATTATATTAGATTTTGATTCTATGTAAGAAATGCTATGATCTTCTTGTAAATATTTGTGATATTTATTACGATTTTGTAAAATAATCATAGAAATTATATCAGAATTCGAAATATATTTCATTATGTTTTGCACACAATCTCGCGTGAAATTAAGACAGATTATGATATATAATATCATGATAGTTTGTTCACAAGATTTACGAAATATGAGATTATTCAGATGTAGCCTTTCACAGAATTTATACGTAAAATAATTAGAAGAAAACAATATAAATTAAAACAATATAAATTTTCTTCTTCAGAAGAATATACATATACATATAAATATATATATATTTTTTTAATTATTGGAATTCGATTTCTCTTTTTTATTTAATTTTGATTTAATTTATTTATTGAAGTTCTACCTAGAAATAAAAATATTCTAGGAAGCTTGCTAAACTTATAGATTTTTTATCATGTTATCTTCAATTAACAAATTTAAATAATAATCTATTGATCTAGAATAAGGCTATCTTTCCATGAGTTATTTGATTTTATTAGTTAAATTAAATAAGAAAATAGCTATTATAAGACAGCTATTTACAATAAAATATATAATAATATATAATGTGAAAAATATGTTTGTTTATAACTCAAAAAAAAAACTTAATTATTGTGTACATATATAGAAAAATATAGTTTAAAATAATATTTTTAACAATATATTTTAACAATATAATCATTGAGAATACATTTTTTAAAAAAATTTATCATAATTACATTTAAGAAAATATATATCATTTTAATATGACTTTTATATGTTTATTTACAGAAAAATTAAACACACTAGATTATGTTCTTTTTTAAAATCATTCAATTTTTGTTTGAATCATTTCTTACATTTCTTACAATTTACAAGTAAATATTTCATATTTATGAAATAATTAATTATTAGATAAACTAATATTAGATACATTGATATATTTGGAGTGATTCACATTTCTTTTACAAAAATTATTAACTTTTTTATATTTAAAATTGGATATTTTACATTTATGCAAATAAAGAAAATATAATTTAAGGTTATATTTTATATTAGATAATAGAAGAGAGATTATGGTCTTCATTTCATGTTTAAATATAAAATTATAAATATTTTTTTTTAAATACTTTAAATATGTTATATTATATTTTTATATATAATTTTTAAAATGAAAATCATGAATTTTGTTTTTTTAAATATTCTTATTAACTCCAAGTTTCAACTTGATATCGATTTTCATTTTCTAATCGCTTAACAAAATTTTCTGCATCTTTTTGAGTTGATTTGGTCATATCTTTGACTAAATTAATAAATTCTTCGCGAACACAATTTGGCATATTTTTAGAATTACCTGCTAGATAAATGTTACCATTGTTACTAAGAAACTCCCAACAAAGTGTTTTCTGGTCATGTATAATATGTTGTACATATCTGAAATATTTATAAAAAATTATAAAAGTTATTTAAGTAAAAATATAAATAATACATATAAATATGAATAATTTAATAATTACACAATTTACACCGTTTTATTATAAAATTTAAAAGAAATTAACTTACATCTTATGTTCTTGATCTCTGGAAAAGGCACAAAATAAATTTAAACCCTTTTTCAGTGATAAACATTCAAAATCATCTTTACAATGATAATCTTTTTCCTTGTTTCTACAACCAAAAAAAAGAATACAATTATTTAAATTGTCATCTAATGCAGATTTATCCAATAGAGCTGAACGAAATGGTGCAATTCCTGTTCCAGGACCAATAAATATCATTGGCTTATTATATTCAAATTTAAATGTTCCTTTTTGCATCCAAAATATTATTTTATCATTCTTTACTAAATTTGCTAACCAATTTGAACATAATCCATATCTTGGTTCTACTAATTTTGTCTTATATTTTACTACAGCCACCAAGAGATGAATTTCATTTTTAGTAATTCTTAAACTTGAAGCTATGCTAAAAGCACGAGGTTTTATGGGAGACATAATTTCAAATAATAGTTTTATATTTAATTTACTAGTTGTATGAGGAAAATCTGCAAATAATTCTAAAATATTTCTTCTTGGTCTATTAATATAATTATAGAGCTCTTCTTGACCATTTGCTGTTGTAAATTCATATAACTTTTCCTTTTCTAATTTATTTTCACTGATAAAAAATAATAGTTGCATTGTAGATCTACGTGGTTTAAAGCTTAAATCCCAGTATTGTTCTACAATTTGATATAGAGTTAGTGTTTGTTTTAAAACATTAGGTACTTTAATTTCTTTTTCAGATATTTGAATTAATATATCTGGATTTAATTGTACATTATTATCATTAAATATATTGAAAAATCTTTCAATTTGTTTCTGAGAATTTTTAGGTCTAATATATATTATATCTCCAGGTTGATAATTAATGTTATCTGATTGAAATTTAATTAATCTAACATCTTGAAAATGATCTTGTGCTGTAGTTCTTATATTTCCAATTATTGTACCTACTTTAATTTCATTATTTATATATATTTCTTCCATAAAAATATCATGACTTGAACAATATTCATTATTTAAGGAATTTTTATTTATTTCAGAAATATGAAATCTTTCAATTATGTTATTTTTATTATTCTCTGTAATTATATCTGTTGTAGAAATATTAAATGTATTAGTAATTTTCATCCACATTTGTTCTAACCATGGATCAACAACAGCATCTATCCCTAAATCATGTTGATCATCTGCTAATCCAAGAGATATTAATTCCTTTGCTCCTAATTGCATTAATCTTTTATTTAATTTTTTTGCTGCAAAATTAAATTTTTGATAGGAACTGTCACCTAAACCTAATATTCCATAATTTAAATTAATAAGCAATGTAGTTGGCAAATTTTTTCGTAATAGAAATCTCCAAAATTGTCTCATATTATTAGGAGGATCACCTTGACCTGTTGTTGCAACTACAAATATTATTATTTTTTCTGAATCGATATCTTGTATATTATAATCATTCATTGTAGAGACATTACTTTCTAATCCTTTTCTGAAATAAATAGATTTTTGTAATAAAACTGCTTATAATTACTATCTTTAATTATGAAATAAAAAATGAATAATAAACAAATTTTCTAATAATTAATAATTTCAAACTTTCTAATTGCGAAATAAAATATATTTTTATGTATATAATAGAGGGAAATAACAAAACCTTTTGGCATTTTTCCAAATTTGTTCAGCCACATCTTGTGCAGTACCTGTCTCACTACCATACAATATTGTAATTTTCATGTTTTTTATGAAAAATTTTTTAATATAAATCTTTTCGAAAAGAATATTTTATCATCAATGATCTCAATACACCATTATGTTAGCAATTTTCAGCTGATATATTATGACGTCATTGGTCATTCAATATACGATATCTGGAGAAACATACGTAAATTTTATGAACAGGGTATGTAAATTATAAAAATAACAAAATTTTTTTTTTGTATTAAATATATTTCACATATGGTAACGATCTTACTTAATCAAATGTCAAGGATAGGTGTCTAGGCTAAGTCCCATTTGGCGCTTGGCCCAAGATATTTATAAATAAAAAATAGTTTTCCGTATACATTATATGAAATGATTTATCATAAATATTGTACACCTTAATCATCGTTAATTATTAAAGATATATACTATAACTTCAATAAATTATTATAATTTTAAAACATTAAAAGTAATTGAATGTTTTGAAATCGATATAAAAATGTAAAAAATTAAAATGAGAAAAGTTTGCAATACATCTTCAAAAACCGGAAACTAATATGACTATCAGTGTAACCATAATATAAAATGTTAAAAACTATTTATTATATTTTATAATTAAAATATCTATGTATAAATTCTAATTGTTTTTATAGATAAGTTACTTTAAAATAAATAAACGACTGCTAATTAAAATGCTTATGAATGAATTATGTGATGTAACTGCGTGTGAAATGTCGACTTTTTATAAATAAAATGATGTTGGTAGCATTGATATCTGTTTGCGAATGATTGTCAAAACCTATTTTCTCAACGAAGTCCGCAGTTTTGCATGCTAGTTCGTAGGAAAACATCATGACTGCGTTCGATTCGTAGAAAGGAAAGAGGCGCAAAGTGCAGCCGTGAGAAAGATAGCGCATCTGTTTTTGAGGAGTGAGTGAGTGCAGAGAAAGGTTTCTCGTCTCGTTTCGCTCGTCGCGTTTCACCCGTTCGACGAGTGACGTGCCTCGGGTCTTCGTCGGTAGGGAAAAAGATTATTTCGATTTTAACGCAGAGAGAAGACGCGGGTTTTCGTCCTCGCGAAAAATTTATTACGCGATCGTGTCTTAACCTTTTCTATTGTTAAATGTGATTAAAGTGTGGGCTGTTGGCCGTAGTGTGTGATTTCTGCGACCCACGATTGTCCTCTCGTCACTTTCGCAGCAATCGACCGATGCATAGTACTTCGATGGAGCTTATTCGCGCGTGACAGCAACTTTCGGGACACCAGGCTCGACATTTGCCAGGTAGTCCCAATTCCGATTTACCACGTGTATCAGCTTTGCATTATTTTGAAAATTGTGTTCACATTTTTCTTTGACGCGACGCTTGCACGATTAAAAGCGGCCAGAGGTCAGTCACATTTTAAACTTTGGTTACAGTTTACCGCGTTTTGAAATGTTTAGCCTTGTCAAGGAATTCAGTATCATGTTTCTTTAGAAACGTACGTTTACATACTCTTCGCACACTGTCATTATTCTTACATTTGTTATATATATTATTTCTATGTGATTAATATTTATCTATGTAAATAAATTGCCTCTTAATAAGTTTTTTTATTTTGTTATTTGTGGATATAAATCTTTTGTTAAAAGTACAAAATTATTTAAGTTAATAAAATTGATACTTATTTTTATTTAATGATATAATATATATTTATTTGTATGTACATGTTATTTTTCATTAGTCATATCTTTTCTTTTTTTTTTCTTTACAGATTTTGGTAGCTGTCTACATTTACATTACTGTGGCAGCTTTTATTTTCTTATATATGATCAACATGTATACCACATGACATGAACTTCATTCTATGACAAGTACATAATATCATTAATATTTATGGAAATTATCTTTGTCACATTTTATGACATAAAATATGAAAAATTTTATTACTATATGCAATAACAATTTAACAAGTATTTAATGTAATTTTTGACACCACATTTATGCTTTATAAATACTTTTAAATAGTGTATGAACACACATTGTCTATGCATTAAAGACAATAGTATTTACATAATAAAGGGCCATATAGAGAAAATGAATAGCAGGCTTGAAGAACAAGAATCAAAATGGACATGTGAATATTGTACATATGAGAATTGGCCTTCATCATTGAAATGCACTATGTGCAGAGGTGCCAAACCTTTATTAGGGGAGGATATTTATCGCCTACGAGATCCAAGTCCACAAAGGTCTGGATCAAATGTTGCATCTGGTCCAGTAACTCATTTAAGCCCAACAGATTCTTTCAATCTTAGTTCTCAAAATGTTCCATTGGGAAAATGGTCATGTGCAATGTGTACCTATCTTAATTATCAAAATACCACACGTTGTGTTCAGTGTGGAAATAGAAAACCTACGGGTCTTAATCAATCAATACACTCTATAGCCTCAAATTTGCATGAACACCTAGCACCTCTTAGGCTAGGAGATCCACCACCAAACTCAGGATCAAATCCTCCTCCAATAAACTTACATCCAGAAAGATATTATAATTTACAAGCTAATTTACATCCTGAGAAGTGGTCTTGTCTTGTGTGTACTTATGAAAATTGGCCAAAAGCCACAAAGTGTGTGATGTGTGGTAATCCTAAAGAAAAAGATAGAAGAGATAGAACAACCAATAACATGGGTGTTATTTTACCAAGCCCAGAAAGAGATCATAGCCAACGAAATTTACCTTCTCCACCTCATGCACCATATATTCATCAAACCCAAAGAGATGAAAATTTGGCAGTAGGACGAAGGTAAATTTATTTTTTATATTTTTTCTAATAATAATTCTTTTTTTATATTTCTATATATGATAATCAATAATTAATGAAAATATTTTAATAGAATTAGAAAAAAATATACTATAAATTTTTTTGTATTGTAGGAATTCACATAGATATCCTGATACCAGAAATGATAATATATCAACTCCTCAATCCCCTAATAATTGTGACTATGAACGTAGACTAAAACAATTAAGGCGTCACACTGATTGGTGCTGGTTAAATGCGTGTCTTGGCATTGTGGAAGGTGATAATGCTCCTGTTGAAGCTTATTTGGCAAGTGGTGGTGATCCTGCTCGTCAATTGACGCATTCAGAAGTTTTACTTCTAAATAGAAGTAGTGCTTTTGATGTTGGACATACCTTAGTACATTTAGCTATTAGGTTTGTAAGAAGTAATGTAATTTTTCACAATGAATTTTTTTTCTGTTTTTAACTTATTTTATGTATATTAATAATTATATGTATATTCTTTGGCTATGTGTGTCAATTTATATATTACACATAGCAAAATAAATCAATTATCATTAAGAAAGATAAAATCTTTGAATTGTTTTTTATACAATTTTTTGGTATTTTTAACAGATTTCAAAGAGAAGATATATTAGCAACATTATTATCACAAATTGAAGGTTCTGGATCTGGAGTAAAAAGAGTACCAAGTTATGTTGCACCAGATTTGGCTGCTCAAATACGCAGACATGTCACTACTAGTATCCGATTACGCAAGGGTTCTTTCCCATGTTATTTCGTCACTGATATAGCTACATTTGCTTTGCCTGCTGAGGTTAATATGATATGATACTTTTTTCAGAATATTATGGGATATTAGTGTTAAAAATATTCATTTCTAATAAATTATATAAATTACTTATTTAAGTGAAAAATAAATTATTAGGTTGAAGATTTACCAAGTATAGTGCAAGAACAAATGTTGGAAGAATTATTAGATAAAGAAGCTCAACAGCAATTAGAAGGTGGTGGAGGAGAACCACCAGCATTAAATTGGTCTTTAGAAATTACTGAACGTTTAGGAAGTCGCTTACATGCACTTTGGAATAGATCTGCTGGAGATTGTTTATTAGATTCTGCAATGCAAGCTACTTGGGGTGTTTTCGATCGAGATAATGCTTTGAGAAGAGCTCTTGCTGATTCTTTACAACAAGCTGGTCAATTGTAAATAATTTTTATAATATTTTCGGTCATTGTTTTATAAATATAGCAATATATTTTTATCAATCTAGTTTTTATCCTCGATGGAGAGAATATGAAGCCTCTCAAGCATCTAGAATGTTGGATTTTACGTTAGAAGAGACTCAGTGGCAAGAAGATTGGGAAAGTTTATTAGCAACTGCTGCTCAACCAGGAAGTGCTTTAGAACAATTACATGTATTTGCACTTGCCCATATTTTGAGACGACCTATTATCGTTTATGGAGTTAAATATGTTAAAAGTTTTAGGGGCGAAGACATAGGTAGACATATGATAATATGATAAATATAATTTATATATATAAAAATATATAAAAATTATTATATTATTTTATTATAAAATTAAATAAAATATTTTTATATAGGTTATGCAAGATTTGAAGGTGTTTATCTTCCACTTTTATGGGAGCCTTCATTTTGTATTCGATCACCTATTGCTTTGGGTTATACACGTGGTCATTTCACGGCTTTAGTTCCAATCGAACCATATACGTCAACTAGAATACCACCTCTTTCGTCTCACGGTGGTGTAGGCTTAGGTGGTGGTAATAGTCCACTTCAACAGCTACAAATCCAAATGCAAACTACATTCATGCCATTAATGGATCGAGAACATAAACTTTTACCAATACATTTTCTAAGTCCGGAAGAAGTTGGTCGAGAAGAATCTATTTTGAAGGAATGGCTTGATGTATGTAGAACTGAAGGTGGTATTCTTGTTGCGCAACAAAAACTACACAAGAGACCATTATTAGTAGCACAAATGCTAGAAGAATGGCTAAATCATTATCGAAGACTCGCGTAAGTAATATTTATATAAGATATGTTAATATGTTAATATTTTTTTGATTACTTGCATATATATATATCTAAATTGCTTACTTTTTACTGTTACAGTCAAACTAACAACGCACCTTTTTTGAGACCAGCAGTTTTACAAGATTACAGTAGCGATGGAGATACAGAAGATGAATAACAAGGTGCAAGATTAAGTTATTAAAATTCAGCCGAGAAGACTTTTTTCAGAATTTTCTCAAAACTAATTGTAACACAAGATCTCAGAGATTCACAGTTTTCTGAATATAGCAGAAAAAAGTGTATGAATGTTATGATACACACACATTCATTGGCAATGTATCATCTTTGAATGATTTTTGTACATTAATATTGGTTATTGAACTATTGACGTCTAAAATCTTACCGATTCATAATATTTAATTATATCGGACGTTTATTCATTTTTACGAGTAGTTGCTATATTATTTTATTGTTACTTAATCACGAGACTACACAATAAGTAGTTCTGTTGCCAAAGTGCGGTTCTGGGTATCAAAGCAGTAAGTGAACGAACGAAATTTTGTTACGACT